TCATTATCTGTAAAAGTAGGGATTGTAATAGTACCTACCTTACTGGCTTGTGGACCCCATTATTAATTTATCAAATCTCAACCCTTGAGTTCATGCCTTTTTAATATTATGTGTGGTGCAAGGGGAAGTGACATAAAACACTTCTACTGCTTACCAAAGGACAGTAATTATCTTGAGGAGAAGCCGTTGTGTAATTGTGTTAGAAGCTGAACTAGTCACTTTTTTCATGAAACACCATTGCTACTTGAAAAAATAACTGACAAACTGTAGTTGTTCAGTTTGGCAGACATTTTTCTTGAAAATGAACAAAATGAGCAGGTCATTTCAACTGATAGTATTTGCCATTGTGAAAATTTGAGCTTTCAGTTGAAAGCTAGAATTTTGAAAAACATCTACCCACCATTCTGAGCTTAAAAGCTTCTCTACAATTAAAGATTTTTTCTTATGACATGGCTGGTGATGTTAATGAATATGATTTTTTAAAAATATGATAAACTGTGTTGACATTTGGAAGATTTACAAAATACAGTGAACCAGTGTTTTCCAAATGACTAATGCATGTTGATACAAACTCATGCCTGGATAGAAGATCCATTCAAGGGCAAGTCAGACCAATGGATTTTAATGTAACAGAGCACAACAAGTTCATTGATAAAGTTATAGATCACACATTGCAACAACTTTAAGAAACTTGTTGAGTTTGGGAATAGTATAAAAAAGAATATCCATGACTATTGAAAAGGCTATTATAATATTCTTCTCTTTTCCAATTACATATCTGTATGAGGCTGGATTTCCTTCACACACGTTAACAAAACAACATATTGCAACAGATTGAATGCAGAAGCAGATAAAGAGAATTTAATTCTGTTAAATCTGACATTAAAGTAATTTGCAAAAATGTAAAACAATACCTCTGTTTTTCACTAAGTTTTTTGTTTATTTATTTTTCATAAAAATATATTTTATCATGTAATGAGTTTATTGCTGTTTTTAAATCAATAAGTAAATATCTTGAAATTTTTCGTAAACACAAGTTCTTTTGGCTGCTCAATGATTTAAAGGGGTCCTGAGATCAGAAGGTTTGAGAATCACTGTGTTATGTAAAAGGAAAAACGTAGTAATTTCATATTATTATTAAGAGTGTTTTCTGCAAGCTATTAGTATTGCATTGAAATCATCCTTTCTGGTGATTTTTGTCAAGTTTTACATCTTGCTAGGTATCCCTGAGTGATATAAATGGTTAACATGCATGGCTGCTAACCATAAGGTTGGAGGTTTGAGTCGGAAGAAAGGCCTGGCAATCTACTTCTGAAACATCAGCCATTGAAAACCCGATGGAGCACAGTTCTACTCTGACATACATGGGGTCACCATGAGTTGGAATCGGCTTGACAGCAACTGGTAGAGGTAGAGGTAGTCTAGAAATATTCATACAACCAAGGGACTTTTAATTCATCCTAAATGCATAGATAATGCTAGGCAGGTACTATATTAGATTTTAGGGGATACAGAAGATGAATCACAACTCAGCTTTTGTGCTCTCGAAGCTTATAGTCCCAGAGAGGGAATAGTGAGGTGTGAATTGCAAAGGGTGCATTCAAGGCGGGGGGTAATATGAGGCTAGGGGAAGAACATTTAATTTAATGTAGAGCATAGATGGTGTCAAAAGAGGGAGGATTGTGATTGTTCCGTAGACTTCAGATAGAGCTGGCTACTGGCAGTTTCCTACGAAATCTACTTCTCTTTCATCTTCAGTTCATTTTCTGACAGTTTTTCTATCAGATGCATCGGGTCCTCTCTAATGGAATGTATTGCTATCTATCTCTTTTTATCTTCAACCTAGAAAGTGTTTCTACCATTTATTCTCTGTTTGATAGTTCCTGGACATGAAAGGCTAATACCATTGTCTGTGCACATTGGACCCTAATCTTGTTGAAAAATAACTTTGCTGTATTCCTTGCTATCACACCCTGACACTGAAAAGTTGTATATGATTAAAAAATAACATGTCGAAAAGGTGATTTTAAAGAAACTTTTAAAAAGTGTCTTTGTTTTAGTTTTATTTTGATCTTTTGTACGCTACTTACCTTACTACTACCCTTCATTGGTATAAACTTAAAGAAAAAAAAAGATACGGTTTCCAATGTGCTCTTACGATACCTCGATACATTGTTTTAGCTAACTTGTATCATTATGAGCAGTATTAATAATATTAGCCTCTTTTTATGGAGATAAGTGGGATAGAAGTAGTTCTATTCAACAAGGTGGGGGTTTGTTTTATTTTTGTACCCACATTTTATGAGCTAAATATGATGGTAATATGGACTTATTAAAAATGAACCAGAAAGGTTAGTTCTGGAATTTTCCAGGGCTAGCGATACATATCGCAGTGACAGGGGAATGATTTCCTAACCAGCTACTTGAGAGTCCTGGAATAACATGCACCTTCTAGAAGAACCTGAAAGTTCAGCTTTATGCACAGGATACTAGAAAAGCTATGGCTGAAGCTTTCTGCGTTGATACTTTTTGGCTAGACTTGCTTGTAGGCAGGAAAGCATTTGGAAAGTATTTAGAAATAAAGGCCAGAGCTTTTGGCAACTTGTTTTGTTCACGACTAATTCTGAAACAGAAAGGACAAGTTGGAAGGGAAACAGTGGTAACACTGGTTGTTTTTCTTAAGGAAACACTCATGATTAAAGTAGCCTCCTGGCCAATCTGATTCCTCTACCTTCCTCCTAAAGCTACTTATTCTAATTCCTACATAAACCTATTCGAACAATCCATTTTCTAGCTTATTTTTTTCAACATGCCATTCGCCTCCTAAAGAAATGAAGATGACTTTCAGTCTGTGTGATTTTATCCCCGCTTGGCAAGTCCTCCGTTTTGTTTTTGCCTGGCTGTTGGACTTGTTAACTCCTTCAGAGGTCTCTTTAGAACTTAACCACCTCAGGGAGTACTTCTTCTTGAAGCCTTCTAATTTTGATCACTCGCCTTAGCATTTATGTACCATTTCTCCTGAAATGTTCTACGTTTGTCAAGGTAGTGATTGGATCTGTTCTTCTGGTATTTGGGAATGGATGCTACAAGGCCTGGACCACATGTCTTCTTTTCTTTGTGCTTACTTTCGTTGTTTTTCTTTGTTCTTCTCTCTTCCTTTGTCACATTACTGCCCACCTTTGCCAAAACAAGAGAAAAGTTGGATTAAAAGAAGAAAGTACTGGACCCAAGGTCCCTAAAAGAAATAATAGGTTTCCCAAAATTCACTTTAACAACTTCACACGTAATGAATGGGGGTATCAGATCCATGGGAGAAAATCAAGAGACCTTGTCTCCTCTTGGGTTCTTTGCTGCTTTAATGTGCTCTCCAGCTCAGACCAAGTCAGCAGATAATGACAGAGCAGTTCTCACTGTGTGAAAGCCCACTCCTTGGCACGGTTGAAAATTCAAAGGTGACTATGAAACACAAGAAAAGATCGTTTTCACTGGGCATGGAAAGGATTTCCCTAAGATAGCCCACAGGTAGTCGTCTTACAAAATTGAAGGCAATAGGGAACTGGAACTGTGATCTCTGGGAGGGCAGGAACTGTAGTTGTGTGTCCACTGCTGCATGCCTGGTCAGTGTCCTTGGCAGGGCCTGGGATAGAAAAGATACCAATACACGTACGCACCCACGCGCACGCGCGCGCACGCACGCACGTACACACATCCAGAGGAAAACACCCCCACTCATTTGGCGGGTATGTGGATGAAATGGGCAGGAGATCAAAAAAGGCTTCGTGGAAATCGTGGCTCTTCAGAAGAACCTGGGTGGTTAGGATTCAGAGCCAGGGCAGGAGGACATTGCAAGTGTGGTGAAATGGCATAGACCAGAAATGGCATAGACCAGAATGAGATGAGCTCCTTCTGCTCCTACCCCTAGGGGTTTATCCTCTTCCCTTCTGTTACACCTTTGCTCAAGTTTCACTTTCCTGATGACATCTTTTGTGACTGTCATATATAAAGGACTTTAAAAAGTGTTTAATCATTTACCATCTACTTAATTCCTTGGCACTTATCATCATCTGACCTATTGTTTGTTTGTTTTTCTCCCCCGATTAGAATATAAGTTCCAAGAAGACAGGGATGTTGTTTTGTTCATTGCTCTATCTCCAGTTAATAGGGTAGTTCTTGGCTTATGTTATTATTGTTGTTGTGTTCTGTTGAGTTGATTCTGACTAGCGACCCTATAGGACAGAGGAGAACTGCCCTATAGGGTTTCCTAGGCTGGAATATTTATGGCTCCCATGGAGCTGCTGGTGGGTTCTCACCGCCAACCTTTTGGTTAACAGCCAAGTGCTTAACCATTGTGCCACGAGGTCTTCTTCCTGGCTTATTAAAAAAAAAAGAAAAAAAAAAAGAAGAAGTTGCCTTCGAGTCGATTCCAACCCATAGTGACCCTATAGGACAGAGTAGAACTGCCCCATAGGGTTTCCAAGGAGCACTTGGTGGATCTGAACTGCTGACCTTTTGTTAACAGCTGTAGCTCTTAACCAGTACGCCATCAGTGTTTCCTTCCTGGCTTATAGTAGGTACTTAATAAATATTCGTTGAATGAATGAATGAATGAGTGAATGAATGAGAGTGTATATCCTTGGAACTGTAAGTTATCCCACTTGCATTTAATAGAGCACCCTGAAATGTTTTGAAAAAGGAGACACATCTGATTGGGATTTTACTGGAGGTATGTACGTCTCTTTGAGGCGTGAAAGAATGATGGTAAGGAAAGTGCTGAAGATGGGAAACTGTGTAATCAGGTTTTTAGAGGAAAAAGGTTTTAGAGATGTGTGTGTGTGGGGTAAGGGGATATATATTGATGGGGCAATATTGGAAATAGCAGGGAAGTTGGTTAATCTTGAGTTTTCCCCACTTATTCTAAGTGAATGACTTTCCTTGAAGAATGTGTGGATGTTTATGTCAGAACTGTGTTGTGCTAACTTCCTCTGCTCTTTCCGTAACAGGAGGCTGAACAGTACCCAGGGAGAAATTCGTGTTGGCCCTAGCCATCAGGTAAAGCAAATTTTAGTAGCTTCTTTAATAGGTTTCCATTTCTTATTATTCTGGTTGACCTCTATTATGTTGAACAGCATTTTAGAGCTATTGTTACTGCTATAGGGAATTTTATATAAATGCTGAGAGGTTTTCTTTTGTTTAATTTTTTCAGATTACCACATACTATTATTTAAAAAAAAAAAAAAAAAAAAACCTTTCCTTTAGATGAGTCCAGATGGTTAGGGAGGGTATGTTTTGGTTGGAAGCTTGTTGTCTTGTGACCTGTGCCCTCTTGTGTTTTATTCAGTTTATTCAGACTGGAGCCTCATGTCAGTCATCACTGTTTTTGATCTCTAACATTACGCTGCTTTGGGGTTATCTTTTTCTTCCTGTTAGGAGCAAAGAGAATTTTCCCAGAAGGTCCCCAGGAGTCCCCACACATCTCGTTGCCATGAGTGGGTCATGTGTCCATTTCTAAACCATGAGGAAAATGGGTCTAGCATGATTGACATAGACTGTGATTTTAGTTGGAATGGATGTTGGGGAGTCAGCCACTATGATCATCACATACCTGAGACATGAGAATACAGGCAATTCTATAGAATAACATCAATGTTTAAGTAGTCTGTCTAGTTATTCATTTCTCTCTCTAGATTTTGAGCATTTATTATATGTATGTATGTCAATTTCTCTATTTTCATTCACTTTCAAAAATTTTTTATTGTGGTACAACATATATAACAAACAGTTGCCAGTTTAACGTTTATGTTCACCATCTTGTGCAACCGTCACAATCATTCATTTCCAAATGTTTTCATCATTCTAAATAGAAACTCATTACCCCTTAAGCAGTAACTCCCCTATTTCCCCTCCTCCCAGCCCCTGATAACCACTAATAAACTTTTGTCTATATGCATTTGTCTGTTTTAGACATTTCATGTAAGTGAGGTCATATAATGTTTGTCCTTTTGTGTCTGACTTATTTCCCTCAGCATATCTTCAAGGTTCATCCATCTTGTAGCATGTATCAGAACTTCATTTCTCTTTGTGGCTAAATAATATTTCATTGGATGGATAATACCACATTTTGTTTATCCATTCATTTGTTGATGTACACTTGGGTTATTTCAACTTTTTGCCTATTGTGAATAGTGCTGCAGTGAACATTCATGTAAAGGTATCTGCTTAAGTCCTTGCCTTCAATTCCTTTGGGTATATACCTAGGAGTGGAATTGCTATGTGTTCCTTTTTTTTTTTTTTTTTACATCGCAGATGTCTTTATTTTCAAACTGTTACACCATGAATCCATAGGGAATAGGTTCCAGCAGCTCAGGCTCCTTTCCATTGATTCTCACAAAGTGTGCTTCTCGGGGTGGAGCAGGCTGGCGCTTCAGCTGAACTCAGGTACCCTTCTCTTTGGCTTCCTTCTTTTTCTGATCGTTTTCCTTCACACGTTTCAGGAAGCTGTCTCTGCTCTTTGAGTGCTTAATGTGCTCAATATGCACATTAATTCTCTTGGTAAGAATCTTGCCCTTGTTTGTTCGCAACAGTGCCAACAGCATGCTGGTAAAATCGTAGACTCTTCCAGTTTTGCCATGGTAACACTTGTGGGGCATTCCTTTTTGAACAGTGCCCATTCCCTTGATGTCTACAGTATCACCCTTCTTGTGGATTCACATGTATGTGGCCAAAGGAACAAGAAAGGCCTAGAGAACATACAGCGGGTGCCTCTTCTCTTTCCCTTTGTGTTCATCATTTTGGCAGATTACTGCAAGATGGCGGTTCCGGCCCAAAGGCCCCCCCCCCTTTTTTTTAAAGAATTAATTTTAACTCTGTAATGAAAAAGAAATTAAGAAGTGAGTGGATATTAAAACCCAAACACTGAAACCATTAGGATCATATAATTTCTAGAAGATAACTTCTTTTCTCAGAACTAGGATTATAACTCACAGGCAGAATACAGCTGTGAGAGGATATACCCCTTGATGTTCTCCCTTGTTTAGGTATACCCTTTTCTTGTGTGACCTATTAGAGGAGCCTGACTACCACCTCTGGACTGTATTTCCTGTGCCCTCAGGCCTAGGAGTGACATTTGTAATCAGGGAATCCAGTGCTTGCCTGGTAGCACTCAATAACATCTTTTTTTCTCTATACTCTCTGGTGCCATTGTAGTCTCCCTCCCATTTCTTCTCCTCCCTGTGTTTCCAGTGTCTTGAGATCTTTGTACAGACGTACAAAGAAATCTGTTACAACAGATGCTTCCCCAACAATAACAGAAAAAGTCTTTAAGTAAAAAATGCTTAAGTTCATAGAAAAGGAGCAGATTTCACTATGCTTGGATTTTTGATACTTTCATTTAAAATCAGATGTTTATTTTATGTCATATTTAAAATATGCTCTGTATGCTCCCCGACCCTCAAAAAAAGTTACAAACACTGCAAGAATAACAGAGCTTGTTTTTTAATAAATTGACAACATTTACATTCTTTTACAAAATGTGACTGTTATATTAGAGAAAATGTCAACATGTAGAAAAGTAAGGGAAAAAAATAGTACAATAAAACCCCCATATCCTCATTACTCATCTCTCACAAATATGAATTTGTGGTCAGACTTATTTATCTATGCTCCCTCATACCTTTCCCTCTCCCCCTCTGCCATTATTTTTAAACAAGGAGGAATATCTCATTTTACTTGTAAACATTCCAAAGGTAAGAGTTATTTTAAAAAACACAATCATAGTATATCACACCTAATAAAAATTAGCAATTTGTTAATAGTCACATGTTCACATACATCTACATTTTCCTAATTGTCTCATAGTTTATTATTTTTACAGTTCACATTGGAATCAAAATAAGGGCTGTACATTGCAATTGGTTGATCTCTCTTAAATCTTTTTTTTAATTCTTAAGTTTCTCTTCAATCTTTTTCCTTTCTCCCCTCAATGTGTATGTTGAAGAAGCTTGATGCTTCATCGTACAGGACTTCCCACAGTGTGGATTTTTCTGATTGCATCTGTATGTGTCATTAAACACTCCCTTGTCCTCCTTATTTATTAAAAATTAGTAGTTACATAAAACAAAACGGGACTAATGAGGCACAGCAGTTCAGGGACAAGGACTAGTAGACAGGAGGGGACAAGAAAGCTGGTGATAGGGAACTCAAGGTTGAGAAGGGACAGTGTTGACATGTCGTGGGGTTGTTAACCATTGTCATAGGGCAATATGTGTACTAACTGTTTAATGAGAAACTATTTGTTCTACAAACCTTCATCTAAGCTACCAAAAAAAAAACAAAAAAAAAAAATTATGTGAGATCAAATTGACAACAGCAACTCAAAAAGTTTGATGGGAAGCCTAGAGGACAGTGAGCTGAAGTTAATGGGACAGTTAACCAATGTCATAAAACAATATGTGTACTGACTGTTTAATGAGAAACTGTTTGTT